TGGATGGATTTGGGTGGATTTGGATGGATTTGGATGGATTTGGGTGGATTTGGATGGATTTGGATGGATTTGGGTGGATTTGGATGGATTTGGATGGATTTGGGTGGATTTGGGTGGATTTGGTCTCCAGGAGGGAACGTGGGCCCCGGATCGGGAGCGGGCGGAGGGGATTGGTTGGAAGGTGCCCGGTTGGAGCCGACCGAGCCAACCTGTGGGTTTTCCCGGGATTTCCCGGGATTTCCCGGGAGCAGGGATCGGCCAGGAGCATTTCTTCAAGAGGATCGAGGCCGCTCATTGCATGGCCTGTGACATGTTGATCCCGGCCCAGAACCACCTGCTCCAGAGGCACCTGCGATCCGCCGACCACAACCGCAACCGCAGGGTGAGCCCGGCAGTTCCGGAGGGCGGGAATTCCGGAGGGCGGGAATTCCGGAGGGTGGGAATTCCGGAGCGCGCGGGGCTCGGGGACGGCTCCGGAATCCCGCTGGGAACCACCTGCCGAGCCAGAGCCGTGGGATGGGGCTGGGCAGGGCTCGTCTCCTTCCTGAGGAGGTGGGAAAATGGGGAGAGGGGCGGGAAAAGGGGGCGGGAAAAGGGACGTCGGAGCCTTTTTGGGGGGATGGAAGGAGGTCCCTTCTCCCGGCGTTCCCCAGGGGAGGGGCTGCCTCGTTAAATATGCAAACATGCAAATGAGGGGGGGCTTGGAGGGCGTTTGGGGAGCTGACGAACGGGATGGAGTCCGTGGATGAGCTGGGCTGGGGAGGGATTGGGATGCCGGGGATGGGGACGCGGGAATGTCGTTCGGCTCCTCCGGAGCGGCTCCGTCTCCAACACGTTATCCAGGCCCAATCCCGGGATATCTGGGGGACGTTCAGCCCATCCACAGCTTCCCCCGGGGTTTGACTTAGTGGAAGTGAGGCAGCTGCTCCATCCATCCATCCATCCCCGTTTTGTGGGATGGGAGAGCGGCTTTCCCAAGCCCTGGGGAGGAGGAGGAGGAGGAGGAGGGAACCCAAACTGCCGATCCCGTTGGAATTCTCCCCCTCCGGACTCTCACCGTGCCCCGTCCCGCTGCAGATGGCTGCCGAGCAGTTCAAGAAGACCAGTTTACACGTGGCCAAGAGTGTCCTGAACAACAAACACATCGTCAAGATGCTGGAAAAATACCTCAAGGTGAGTCCGGGAGAACGTCGGCGCCCGGAGCGGCCTCGTCCCGGAGCGCCGGCGCCGGCGGCTGCCACTCGCCGCCTCCTTGTCCTTAAATCCTGGAGCTCTTTCCTCTGCAGGCGGTTTGACCCCTCCTGGTGGATTTTTGGGATTTTTTTTCCCGTTGATTCTCCCCCCCCCCCTTCCCCCCTCGCAGCCGGTGCCCTGTGCCGGCGTTCCGGGCGCCTGCGCCGGGATCGCAGCCCGGAAACGGGAATTAAAGCGACCAAAACGCTGGAGCTTCCCAAAGTCCCCCCCCCCCGAGCGAGGCCTTGGGGGGGACACCACAGACCCTTGTCCAGGGAGGGCAGGAAGATTCCTGCCGGGATCGGGTCCAACCTGGACGGCTCCCGACCCACCTGGAGGGGAATCCTCCCCCATTTCCGGAGCCGGGGCAGCTCCAGCAGTGAGGAACCCCCCCGGGATCGGGGAGTGCATCCCATTCCCGTGACAAACCCTCCCATTAGTCCCCCCCACCACCCCCTTTTTTCCCTCCTCCTCTTCCCTCGGGAAGCGGCGGAGCACAGCCCGGCCGACCTCCGGAGCCGAGACGGAGCGCGCGGAGGGGTCGGGATCGGGGTCGGGATCGGGATCGCTGGAGGCCTCGCCGGCGCCGGGAATGGCAGGACGGAGCCGGGAAGGGCCCGCGGGGTCTCCGGAGCGCGGGGGGATCGCGCTCCGAGCGGGGCCGGAGCCGAATCCCGGTGGGTGTAACGGGCGTCCGAGAGAGAGGAAAACTCGCCTCCTCCTCCTCCTCCTCCTCCTCCAGGCGAAGAGGAAAAGAAGCGCCTTTGGCTCCTTGTTGTTCCCTGGGAATGCGGGAACGGCCGCGGATCCGGCAGGAGGCCCCGTGTCTGCAGGCAGGGGCAGCAGGTGCCCGCGTGTCCCCCCAGCCCGGGGGAGCGGCCGAGCCCCTTCCCGGCGCACGGCTCGGCTTCGGCCCCGCCCCGGCCGGAGCCGGAGCCCAAAAACTGGGAAAAACTGCGACTCCGACCTCTGGGGCCGGGGAAAAGGGATGTTGAGTGCGGAGTTGGCCAGGTAGGACGGCCCTGTCCTGTTGTCCTGGCAGAGGATGGGCATGTTCCCGTTATCCTGGCATGGGATGACCATGTTCCCATTATCCTGGAATAGGATGGCCATGTTCCCATTATCCGGTGTCCAATTATCTTGGCATAGGATGGCCCTGTCCTGTTATCCTGGCAGAGGATGGGCATGTTCCCATTATCCGGTGTCCAATTATCTTGGCATAGGATGGCCCTGTCCTGTTATCCTGGCAGAGGATGGGCATGTTCCCATTATCCGGTGTCCAATTATCTTGGCATAGGATGGCCCTGTCCTGTTATCCTGGCAGAGGATGGGCATGTTC